ATTATTTCTGATCGTGAAATGAAGGATTGTTTACTTTTAGTATTTGCAAATAAGCAAGATTTACCAGGCGGTATGTTTTAAATTTATGTTTTAAATTAAACTAATACGCATATATTTATTTCTATATTACTTTAATTTTATAAAAATAATTTAGCAATGTCACCGGCTGAGGTCACTGAAAAACTACATTTGCATCGTATGCGTGATCGAGCTTGGTATGTTCATCCGTCTTGTGCGACCACTGGTGATGGATTATTTGATGGATTGAACTGGCTAAGCCAAAATACCAAGTCAAAATAAAGCAAGGCATATAGCTCATATCCGATAATATTGACATACATACATATATTTGGCTTATACTTTTATGAAGATTTATATATAATTGTGTAATACTAGCTGTTTTTTTTTTTCCTACAATGTATTATTAGAGAATTTTGTTGAAGAGTACTATTTTCTTACGCCTCCTAGTGAAATTCTAATTTACTTTTTTTTCGGTAGTATAATCTTTTTTTTTTACATTGACTTTTTAATACTAACGTTAAATCCTTTTTAAACACACACCAACTTATCAAATCTCATTATTATTTGTTCACATTGTTTGAACAATTTTAAGCACTTTTAGACCGATTTGGTTTAAAATTATGAAATTGTTGCAGCTAATTAAAGAATGAGGATTAGATAATAGATATTTGGGTATTTAGAAAAAAGATTCAGTTCTTTTAAAGTAACTACAGTAAAAAAATAGAAATGCACGTATGTGTATTATTCTAATCTTTTAAATCGTCCATTCATTTTTGTTTTGTTTAATTTTTATTATGCTTATTTTTTAATCTAAAAATAGATTTAATCAATATGTAATATTTATTACCTAATGTAATTCTTCAAAATAAATAATTTATTGGGAACGGATATTTCCACACCCTTTTTATTGCACCTCGCAATGTGATTATTTGAATTTTTTTGAACTTTGGACGACATTCATCTGATCAACCGATTTTTATGAATAAAAGTTTATCGAATTTGCCATGTGGATATTGAGATATCTTTGATCAAAGAAAAATCTACATATTGATATTTACCTATCAAACTTAAATTTTATCAATTTTTATAAGTAAAATAAAAAAAAAAAGTTTATCGAATTTGACCATATGGTTGTTAAAACATCTAATCAAAGATTTTAAATATCAAAGAAAAACTAATTAAACACTAGATGTCTGAAACTAGGGTTGGGGCACAGGGTTAAAGGGCGTGCCTTGGGGGGGCATGTAACCTTTTCATGTGTTTAAAAAACATGTAATTGAGCAGAGTCAATTAGACAATATTATAATTTTGTATATGTAGTGTAATCTAAATTAGCCAATCAGGTTGCTAGAATAGGTAGCACAAATCAAGTTAAAAAAGTTTTTATAATAAAAATCTAAGTTTGTCATTAGTTTAAATTTTATATGTTTCAATTTTTATTTTTATTTTTTTTTATAATTTGGCAATCTTGCCTCTGTTTATTTAAAATTAAGCTATTCCAAAAATTTTATAAATTGCTATCTTTAGTTATTACTAATTTATTCAAACAAAAGACTTACCCGGCTTAGCCAAAGTATATACCCAGATACGACCCGCCTCAATAGAGCTTTGCCTTCTTCTGGATCTTTAACTTACTAAAAATTTAATCTCTGATATTGGCTGATATTTATAAATTTAGTATATTCAAATAGTTACTGTATATTTACTTCTAATTTAACTAACCAAATTAATTAATCTAAAACTAAACTAGAAAAAGAAAAAGAAAAAACCAAAACTAAAATATACTTTAACTTGTACCAAGAGTTAAACATTGTATACTACATAACTGCAAAATATCAATATATAGGGATGAGTTAATAAAAATCAAACAAATTATTTTTATTAAATTTTTTTTAAAACTTTTATATTAATAACTTAACCAAAACTTGATCAAATTTAATAAATTTTTTTTTAAACAAATTTTATAAGTTTGTAAAATTTATTTAAAAAAATTTTTATTAAATTTGATTAAATTTTTGTTAAGTTATTATTGTTTAAAGTTTTAAAAAAATTTACTTAGAAGGGTGTGGTGACTTAGTGAAGTGGTTAAGTTGTCGCACCCCCAAGCGATTGTTGGTTAAATAGGGGGTTCGAAATCCACTGGTGACAAATTTCAAAAAATTTTACCTGTATGACGTTACTGCCGTCTGATTAATGGTTGGAACAAGATCTCTGTAATCTTGGTGGCACCAACAGAATTGGGAGATCATGAAGCATTTGTGTGATACATGAGTTATACGAATAAGCTTTCAGATCATTGTAAACCCAGAGAACCAGAAAGGATGATAGAACACGCTTGGCAAGACCCGAGTAGAGAGGTAGCACAGATTTTTAATGGTACTACAGAAGGATTGTTACTAAGAGAACTGGCAAAACTGAATGGGACCAAAGTGTTTGGCAAGGCACTCTACCAACCAGGCCGCCGGGAAAGTAACCAAAGGAAAAAGACCCAACTGTGGGACCAGAAGCAGGTCATAGCCTTTCCAGACCATCTGAATTGGTAGTTTGGGATTGTTAGGATTAAAATCGGTAATAGTCTGTAAAGTGTATACTGGGGTTTGGGTAAACTTTGCAAAGGCAACGATAATGGTAGTGGCCTCAGCTTGCAAGTACTTGTCCTTGAATAAGGATATAAGTTACCGGAGACTAGGTTAGCTAAATTGTGGGTATAGAAAACTCTAGCAGGTTTATCACGAGGATAAAGTAGTCCTAAGGTGCCTTAGCAGCAGTTAGGCAGTAGTGAAAACGACATGATAGTGTGAAGCCGATCAGAGGGTTTAAATAGAGGATCTACAAGCAGATCTTAGGTATGGCAATTGGTGGATAACTATAGATAGAAATAGATATAGCAGAACCCTTAAATAGGCAATGACTAAAGTTGTACATGTAACCAATTGTACTCTCGTTAGTGTAACAAAGTCAGGTAAGGTCTATTCGACCAAGCTGAAGCTTGATCCAGATTGCAAATAAAACATACCAGACCCCAAGTAGTCACTTTAATATTTAAAAAAAAAAAAAAATTTATTTAGAAAAAATTTGCTTGATTTCTATTGACTCAATCCCGTATCTTTATTTATATATTTATTAAAATAACCTTTTATTTCTATTCAAGCTATAAGTAAAAGCTTCTAGAAAGTTCTATATATACTTTTATAAATTTTTTTTTTTTTTTTTTATATTTGGTGGTCCTGCCTATTACTTTTTATTTAGAAATACCAGAACTTATATCAACAGAAAGATACAATTTTCTATACTATATTCTATACGAGTAAAGATCAACTCGAGTTAAACTCAGAGAATGACCTACCTAGCAGCAATTGGCTTCACATTAGATTCTCAACTTTCT